AAGAAGAATTTTAGTCAAAACATTTCATTATCAAGCCAGATTTTTTTTTGTTGTAAAATATATACTATATTCTTTTGCTTTCATTAAAAATGTGGCTGATATAACCTTCATAGAAATATATACATACTTAAAATTGTACAAGGACCCGCCCCCTTGCGACTGGAGTAAAGTAATAATGGAAGTAAAAGTTGCCATAGACATGAATTAAACTTCTTTTTTTGTATTTTTTTAATATGTTTCAACAAATGAGTGAAATGTTGGCATTTAGCAAGAGATTACTACTGAAGTAGGGATAATTAAGGCATTTAAAATTTTTTTTTCTAGCGTAAACGCTAATTTCTGGGCATCGCTCAGACCACACTGGGTGCATTTTTCGGCAGGAACTTGTCCCACACCCTTATAAGATCTAATTAAACCAGATATAATACCGATTTCTTATGAAGTAATTTTTAGAAACCTCTTTATTACATACTATAGTCCCACAAAATAAAGAGATTGATAAATTGATCTGATTTGAAATTGAAAACAAACAAAATTTAAGTGATTTGCTCCTATTGACTGCGAAAAAAATTAGAAATGTCAACAAGGTGTTCGACAATAATAGAAACAGGCATAACAGGATATAGTATTAGCCAATAATTTGTATCAAGTTTAGCAAAATTTTAAAATTTCGTGGGCTTTCGATTGACCATTTTTCCTATAAAAAACGTTGATCTTATACCATAGATTTAGAGAACCCAGCCAAGAATGATTCGCAACATCGTGGAACCCAGGGCTGAAAATGACACATGCGAAAGACGTTGTAGCACAAACAAAAAAAGTGAAAAGCGATTGCGATCAACAAAAACGCGAAAATAGCTTCAAATGCGTCATAATTAAATTTTTTAGAAACTGAAAAGAGCATAAAATAANGATGGTAACGAGGACGGTGGGTGCAAGGCGACGTGTAGCGCACTTTAAGCCCCGTTGCTGCAATACACAGTACATGTGTCTACCCCGCAATGCTGTCAATGCCCATGTGCTCATCACCGTGCTTAAAATGAACTGCGTCTCATAACATCACACCTAGCAGCATCATTGAAGTATAGGTGGAAACGTTGTTCACAAATTCATTGGAAAACATTTTACTTTACTAATCTGTGTTTAATTACTTACATCTTGATCCTTGCCCTTATTTTTGAAATTCTGCAGGCGATTCACGTTCGGTTCCAGCGATGTCATTTTGTTTTATTTTTTTTTCTTCTCAATTAAATAACTGCTCACTTTCCCTTCTTTCGTAGTTTACAACGATACCTATCGCTGTAATTTATCTCAATGCTTCAGCTTTACTTTACTTTGTCTTGTTTCTCTCTGTACAAATTTAGTTGTGAAGTAATTTTACTGAAATA